AACATTTGGTAGGTGAGCATGCATCCGAAATTTTAACAGCGCAATTCCGTAACTTTAAGTGAAATCAAGTCAACTGACCTCAATCAATTCATAATCTCTTCGCGGGTGAATTACTGATGGATTGTTCATGCCAAAGGTGGTGATTATTCCTGGAGCCTTCGGGTAGACAAGGTTTAACATGCAGGGGGCTGTATATAAAAACCACAATTTACTGAAGATCGGTGATCATACAACCTTTGGACAGGATCAAAATCCCAAGTCACCCGACACACCAGGTACAAATCTACCCAATGACCGCCGCTATACCCCCAGGGCGTGGGTGTAGTTCACACACTCCCAGGATGGTTCGAAATCTGGGTATCATACCAACCTAATAAATGAACGATAAGGAAGCACGGAGAATTTAGAGTGAACCAGTGAACTGGGTTGAAGTAATCGGTAAAACAAGCTACTCTATACGAAAAAAGTACCGTATCACCTGTAAGACTGAATATTCAGCTGCACCATCCAGTTACATAAAGCGACCAAAAAGGCACACGCATCTCACTTTTCCGCTTAGCGCGACATCAAATAAACAGCCAAATCATCTGCCAGAAGTGACCTGAGGAAGGCTTATTATCCTAGAGCAAACCATCAAACCTTTTCTCTTTTTATAAAGATTATTGTACTGGGATTTTTTGCAGTCTGAACTCAGTCCTGTGTGAAATATATAAATTTACTTAGAAAATCGCCGTAAATTTCAACAACCTAAGACAGCCTACTGCATAGATTTTCCTATGGCATTCGACTCCATAGACTGCGAAGAAGCCAACTTTATAAAACCGAGATGCAGTTTTAAGTGGATCAGCAACCACTTGCAGATCCCTACCTGTGTTTAGTCCAATTATACACCAGTTATAATTCCCTTTACGTACACTTTCGATCAACGATTTAAAAGAAAACCTTGACTCAGTGAATTGTAAGCTCCATTCGGTCTGCCAGAAGCAGATTGCTCTATCGAGATCATCGTTCTAGCCTACTTCTGGTCCAGTAAGAGTATACGGCAAACCAAGTAGTGCTATCGAAACCAGAAGCGATAGTCAAGGATGCCTATTTCGCCATTCATCGCATACGAAATATTGGAGAACGGTTATTAGTTTTTGAAACGTTGGCATTCAATGGGCAACTGGATTTACAGTACGTTGAAGACACCGTCTCTTGGAATGTATGGAGGACGTGTAAAGTGCATTTCTAATATTAACAAGCTCTGTCACTCCGTTCGATATACGCTTTGCACATTCAGAGTGCAAAACGATGCAAAACGGGGAGCGTCTACCGCTGCAGTAGATTGCTTCTGCTACCTAGGCATTTGTGTGACAGTAGGATACGTGGTGGCCATCGCATGCATTTACAAAGTTCCAGTGGAGTACTCAGGACTAAAAACCCTTTGGTGCCATCCTTAAGTCATCTTTAAATTGAAAGATCGCGTACACTGTGGACACCGGCTCCCAATGGATTGCGGTTTTCACACACCGCCCCGCTGCCTTGCAGGTCAGGCTTTCGCTAGCCGAAGGCTCCGGTCCCGGATTCCTCGAGAAAATTCACCTGCCTTGACCTGGGCAACCTGGCAGTATTCATCCCACAAGCCAATCATGGAACGTTTTTCCTTTTTCATAAAGATTATTGTACATGATCTGCCTGGCACACTGTCTGTCCACAGACAAGTGTGAAATATAATAATATACTGTGGTGCTGGGCTGTCAGTTCTGCATTACGATCATGAAATCCCAAGTTTGCGCGCAGACGTTTGGAGGCCTGTTACTGTTTACGTTTAAGTAATTTGGCGTATACAGGACAGCTAGCGCTAGCGCTAGCGGGTTAGCAACACTGAGTAAGCTGCTGTGTATTAGGGAATGATTCGGTGGAAAATTCGTTATCGGACCGAATTCAGAGTGCTAAATTTCGATGGTTGGAATACAGAATTTGCAGTTGTCGCTTCAGGGTATACCAATGACGTTAAGACAAAGCATGATGTAATGTACAGAGGGAGTAGGTAGGTTAGAAGTCTCCAGTCTTCCCAGCTGGATTCTAATTAGTTGGTTGGATACACTTAAGGACATTGTAGCGAATCGCCCTTGGTGGTGATGCTGTTGTCCTTGCTCATCAGGCCAGAATGCTCAAAGATATTTGCTGTTCAGTTTGACTGTGTATTATATTGACCTCAGTGATGAACTTTCTTTTTTATCCCACAAAATAGGCCAATTCCTTAATCATTCGTACCCACTTAGTATGTGTATTAAGAGCTTGGCAGCGACAAGCAGTTTTGTTGATAGTTCGCCCTTTAGTAACGACAGCAATGGCTCAAGAATGGGTTCTATGGGTTCTGATGAAAGCCTAATACAGACCAAGATAGCTGTGCAAACAAAAGAGCTTTCAAACACCAGGGAGGACCTAAAATAGTCATGCTTAGGGAGAAGAGATAGGTAAGTGCTTTTGGAAGTGTTGAAGATTACACGGGAAGATAAACCTCAGGAGTGTATTCCGTTCAGGTTGGAGTTCAATCATGTGCTCATAACTGAACTGAACTCATGTCTACAAAGTACAAAGGGGTAAAAACAGCAAATGATGAATCAAAAGTGAACCAATACGATTGAAACCGACGCTTTTCAAAAACCAGCAGCTTGTATCAGAGTTTCTAACTTGTCTCCCTTAAACCATACATTTAACTAGGCAATACTCATGAGTGAAGACCTCCAGGTGACCGGTGACTAGCACTGAGCAAGGTTACATCGATGTTGACAAGGAAACATCTGGATTTTTGCGACTGATGATGTAAGTGCGCCTTCGGATGCTACACAGATTACAGTACCAAATTGACTTTATAGATCTTAAAAGACGAGGCGAAACGATCCGTTTTCTATTGCGGGGATTTATTTGGATGCACCGAAAAGAAAACACCTTGGTAGGTGATCCGAAATTAGCCCAATTTCGATGTTGCTTAGATACAACTTCAATAAGAGAAAGTTGACAATGTACTATGATAACGCACCGGATTCGCTACCATTTCGGGGATGAATAAAGTGCGATACTGCAGTACATTAGTTTGTTGTTCTACGCATCATAACCGATTTCTTCTTAGGAATGTGCATGAAGAAAACCGCTGGTTTTGATCTCCTGTGTGTTTTCTTCGAGCCACTGGGCCTAGGTGCACGCAATTCATTTTTTACGACCGTTCACACGACGACAATCTTCTCGGTTGACACGACACAATGAATGGAATTATTCGAAAGAGACGATTTGCTCTTCCTGTCACCAATAACTTGTTACGAATTTATTTATGGAAGCACAATTTTCACTTACAGAAACCAGCATATCCAGCTTTGAAACTTAGCGCGGCAAATTGCATAAGGTTACAATATAAATACACAGGCCAAATGGGAAAGCATTGAAGCTACCTACATACAACCAAAGTCTGATGGGAATGGTAGAATTCAAACCTAGAACCTTTGGATGGTAGTGACCGTGACTTTAACTGGTCGATCGCAAACCATACACCC